TTTTTCGGGTGAAGAAAGGGAGCAAATTTTGGGAGATCTTCCCAGGAATTCTCACTTGAAAAAAAACATCTGGGTATCTCACACCTCTTGTGCAAAACAAACAAGTGTTTTAGTAAATGATGTGCATTGTGTTCTAAGGTAGAACCCTAGGGAGACCAAAACAACAAACAAAATAAATATAAACAAAACCTCCAACTGTCAACACGATTTTACTGGCTTCCATGGTTCTTCACAAGGTGTGGATGACGAGTTGCAGGTTGTTTCAGGATCCACAGCCCGTGTCCAGATCATCCAGTAAGCAATGCAGTGTATGAGGAGTCTAGCACCCTCTCCTGCACTTCCCCCAGTGCTCCACCGTAGACGCACACACCCCCTCTAAATGACACCCCTGGAAAGAGACCTACAGATCTCACTTGTCTCTATTTTGCTTCCTCCTCATGATTACCTCCCTCCCTTGCAGCCCAGCTTCCCCGAAAACCAAATGAGTTGTTCTCTAACTGCACCGGAAAATCAGAATTTATTGTACATATGTTTGTGTTCCACTTAATAAAAAAACCTATATTTTAAGATAAACTTTGATAGTAATTCATGAGGTAAGTGACTATTTATGCTAATCAGGCAGAAATATATTCTCAACCATAATGCATTACATAAATTTGAATGCAAAATGTTCAGTTATGAAGTAAATACAGGTAATGCAAATAATAAATTACCTCTAATAAAAATTATAAAAGATGTGTCTTCAAAGAGAGAGCGGCTTTAACTTACAACTGTGAATTGCTTAAAGAGAAAAGAATTAATAAATGCTGAATTACCCTGATGATTATTTAGCACATAATTCACCTATTCATAACGACTCCTAGTAATCAGACTGTTGTTTCACATTCTCCAATATGAGGCAAGACTGTTTCCTCAGCAATTTTACCCTTATCAGATTATCTCGTCTGATTCTATTAATTTTCTTCCATGAATCTGCTAACAGTGATTTGTGATTTACTTACCCTGCTAACTAAAGACTGTTAAAAGGATTTATCTAACACTAGACCTAAGAACACTATATGTCTTATCATTCAGTTACTCTGAGCAACTCTTTCCTCAAATCAATTTAGTTGCTTTCATAGTGAAATTTAGTGACACTGGTTAGTTCTGCACCATAAAATCAGCTCCTGGATAAACAAAGAGTTCAGACACGACACTTGATGCATCTTGTTCTTTTTAGATCATATATGTCTGATTCCAACGTGATATACCTGAGTTGCTATAACTCACAATCAGGAAAAATATATCATTTTGAGATTTTCATCATTGTAATTTGGACACGAACAAATTTTTTCTTTCTTTCTTTCTTTCTGCATGAAGTTCTTCTGTAGGTACTGACATGAAACTACAATTGTGTTTTTGATGTTATGGTTTCGCAATCTTCTACAGGATTCGACCCATCCCCTCCCCCCTCCACATTCTTCTATAAATATTCACTGCTTTCAGAAACTTTAATACTACTGGTTTGAATTGGTCAATAATGACAAACGCATGGTTTCTAAATTACTCTATATTGTTCTACAGAGATTACTAGAGTATATATAGCAAGGGGATATTAAGCAGTAAGAAAACACAGTTCACATTGTATTTGGATTAGGCTGGCTTGGAAGAAGTGAAACAAACAATGTTCGCAAAAAAGTCTAAAGAAATGTGGCCTTGCTGTAATTGTAGAGAATCAAAAATCTGAATAGTACTAATTAAAATGAGAGAGCTCAATTGTTACAAAAGAAACGCTGCTAACAGAGAACTGTAAATGTTTAGACACCCCTGTGAATCACTAAATAATAAAGCAAAAAGGACAAACACAAGAATTAAGTTAAAAGAGCACTACTGCTACACGTCTAAAAAAATAATTCTAATCCTCTCTTTTTTTAAGAGAAAATGGGAGACTGTAAAAGACTCTGCAATAAGAGAAAGAAAAATACCATGGCTTGACAGCAGTGTACAAAAATAAACCATAAAAAATGTGCAGATAATAATACATTTAGCTGCCCAAACATGGGCATTTAATTTCTAGAAATGATATATAATTGCAACAATTAGGTGGACAGCCATGAATCTGTATCCCGTGGTCTTCGTCATTAGCAAACTTTGTTTATAAATGTTGTTTATTTATAAGTGTAGCAGTTTCAGTGTTCCTGGCCAAAAATACTTTCAAGAGAAGCAGGAATCCTATCTTACAGCTTTTAACAAAAATATGATGCAAAACGATAAAAAAAACAATTATTACAAACAAAAAATGAATTAATTCCTCCTAAATACACTTATATTCATATTTTACATGAAAAACATAAACTTCAGATTTTTGTGGCTAATGATTAAAAAGCCCTGGAAAACTATCACTATGGACAATGCTAAGTGACATAATATGTTTATGCAATTTAAGCAGTGGATTTTCCTCTGAATACATAAACTATAATCTCTTAACTTCATTACTAGGTAAAATACTGTTTGAGAGGAGGAAAGCAAAGGAATTCTGTTAGATTGCATAAATATTGACATAATCTTCACTCTTTTTTCCCAACTAGCAATAAATATACTTCATTCCAGCCCTACAAAGTGCTCCCATAAAACCAAAACTATCCTTATAAACAGCTTTTCTGCAGCAATAATGAAAAGGAAAAAGTCCTTTTCTGGAAAATACCAATGGCACTGGCCTTTTAGGGTTATGATGTGCCTACAAACCTTTTGGGGAGCCTCTCATTAGGGATTCTGGGTTTGAAGGCTGCCAGCAGCAAAGAAATTAACACAAGTCTAATCTGGTGTAAGAAGCCAATGAGTGACACCTAAGGTCTCATTATAAATAGTAAAGTATGCCGTGGGGAGGGTGAGAGCAGTTCTGAAGTGCAATGGTCAAGAAGCTGGCTTAATATATGACTAAGTGTCAGAAGTCAGGTTTTCTGAGAATTACTTTTCAGATAAACAACTTTATAGCACTGCACTTAATCATACTTACTAGAGGCATCTCATTTATCACCGAATTACAAGTAACTTTAATTCTATTGATATTGCCATAAAGCCCGTTCAAAATCCATCCTGGCACTTTTAAAAGGTTTAGGGCCCTGTTACGTGGGATTCACTTGCAAAAGTCTCTCAGCAGAATCATATTCTGAAGGCTTCTGTGTCTCCTAGCCTCTTTGTTGACAATCAAGGGGGACAGTACGGGTAAAAGGATTCCTGCCCCTGCCAGCACTGTCCTTAGCACCTTTCCTACCAGGTTGGGTTCTCCCACTGCAGTCAAACTCTCTGTGCTTCAGTCCCCCTCCCACCTTGGGAAACCAGCTTCTTTTCATCAACAAAACTGGACACGGATCAATTTCAACTGACCTTTGCCGAAAGGTGGCGCTGTTGAGGTAAAAATCCAACAATAGTTTTCACTGGGATTCTTTAGCAGGCTTTTCAGATTTTTTTTTTTTAAGTGCGCCCTCCTAGCGTCTCCCCCTCCCGTAAAGTAAAATAAATATGATTAACACCAAATGCATTTCATTAATTGGAGGAATCAACAGTCTCAATATCCAAGTAGGCGGGCTGGTCTTCCAAACGCTGGGTCGGCTTGGCTTACGCTTGTATTCCCCCCAATAAATCTCGGTTTCTCCGACTTGCCTATCGCTTTAAAATCTTAGAAACAGTTGTTGGTTCTTTCTTTTCTCTTTTCTGCTTCTTTCTTTCCTTTATCTTTTTTTTTTTGCATAAGCTTTAAAAGAATCGGTCTAGAAAACTGAATAGTTTTTAGCATCTGCAACGGGGAGGGGGAGAAGCAGCCCCCCACCCCACCCCCACTGTGGGTTTCCGGGCCGGTCCGAGAAACCGCGGTTTAAAACTTAACCCTTCGAGGGGTGCTGGCGAAGGCTGGGGTGTTGTTTCCCCCCAACACATACACCTCTTGCTCCTCTACATGGCCAAGTCTGAAATAATTAAGTGAAATGTGAAAGTGCAATGGGCACGCGGGACCCTGATAAACAAGGGTCAGATTTCCTAAGGGGGTGTGTGTGTGTGTATGTGTGTGTGTGAGAGGGGGAGGAGGAGAGAATGAGAGAGAGAAAGACAAAGAGAGAGAGAGGAATATGAATATGAATCTCAAAGGCCAAACTCGGGCCAGTGTCGGAAGCCAGAGGACTGAGCTGGGCTGACCCGGCTCCGAGCTTCCCCGGAGTTAACTCGCGTAGGCGTTTGCTCCCCCCAAGGGCACGCGACGCCAGCGGACAGCCAGTCCCTGCGCGTAATGGCCCCTGGACAACTTATTTCCCCTCCTTCAAAGAGGGCGATAAAACGGGCTTTCTCTACGCGCCGACCCGGAGCCACTCGGGGCGGCGCCCGGCGAGGCGGCGTCCTGCGTGCAGTCGGGACCCTGAGCCCCCCGCACCCCTGCGCCCCAGAGCGCGGGCCCCGGAGAGAGGGACAAAGAGTTTGCGCTCTTTGGCTCAAAGGGCCAAGTTTGAGCTCCCCGCACAGCTATGCTCGGGGAAGGCATGTTCCCCGGGCAGACACCTGGGTCCCAAGCAGGAGCAAGGTGGAGAAGATGCGGAGCGAATTCACAGTCCCAGGGATGGGGGCTGCCCAGGAAAGGGAGTCAGGCCAATCCCCGCCGAACGAGTGGAGGACAAGCCGGCGCTCCGGAAGGCAGGCCTCTCTCGCGCTCCGAAGTAAAGCAAACCGGCCTCCCGGTCCTCCCAGATTCCCGCAGGCCCTCTGGACTACTTCCCCTCTCACACCAAACTTTGCGCCAGGCTTTTCTCCCTCCCCGGGAGGCTGCGGCGCGGGAAGGGTTAAGCCTGCTTGTCCCAGCTGACAGTCAGCTGATTGGGCCCTGATTGACAGCCCCGAAAAGTTTCCTTGTTTCTATCTATTATGCTAATCGCAGCCGCTCTCGCCGCCTCCCATTGGCCCGGAGTACCAGTCAATTTCCCATTTGGGCCTGACGTCACAAGTGCTATAAAACTCAGCAATTGCTTTAAACTCTTCTTGCTGGATCAGAGGCTTTAAAATCTTTTTTCATCTTCGAGCTGTAGCTCGGGCTGCTCTTCGGCTCGGCCTCCCCCCTTTTGCTCTCTGCCTCGCCTTTCCCCAGGACTTCGCTATTTTGCTTTAAAAAAAAAAAAAGGCAAGAAAGAACTAAACTTCCCCCCTCCCTTTCCTCCAGCCGGGCTGCACCTCTGTCTTGCACTTTGCACGGAGAGAGCGCGCGAGGGAGAGAGAGAGGAAAGAAAAAAAAATAAAAAGAGCAGGCAGAAGAGAAGGCGAGAAGCATGAAGTGTTAACTCCCCAGTGCCAAGGCCCGCGCCGCCGGACAGCCGCCCGCCGCGCCTCCAGCCCCGAGCGGCAGCCGCGCGCGCCCCGCCTGCAGCCCGGGCCGGCGAGGCGAGCCCTCCTTATGCAAAGCGCGCAGCGGAGCGGCGAGCGGGGGACGCCGCGCACCCGGCCGGGCTCCTCCGGCTTCGCCGCCGCCGCCACCGCAGCCCGCGGAGGACCTTCCCGAGCCTGAAGCCGCCGGCTCGGCACGCACGGAGGCGAGCAGGCGAGGAGGGGCCGGGGCGAGCGAGCGAGCACATTGGCGTGAGCAGGGGGGAGGGAGGGCGGGCGCGGGGGGCGCGGGCAGGGCGGGGGGTGTGTGCGCGCTCGGAGGTTTCGGGCCAGCCACCGCCGCGCGAGCTAGAAGCGCCCCAGCCCGGCAAGCTGGCTCACCCGCTGGCCACCCAGCACAGCCCGCTGGCCCCTCTCCTGCAGCCCATCTGGCGGAGCGGCGGCGGCGGCGGCGGCGGCGGCAGGAGAATGGCATCAGAACTGGCAATGAGCAACTCCGACCTGCCCACCAGTCCCCTGGCCATGGAATATGTTAATGACTTCGATCTGATGAAGTTTGAAGTGAAAAAGGAACCGGTGGAGACCGACCGCATCATCAGCCAGTGCGGCCGTCTCATCGCCGGGGGCTCGCTGTCCTCCACCCCCATGAGCACGCCGTGCAGCTCGGTGCCCCCTTCCCCCAGCTTCTCGGCGCCCAGCCCGGGCTCGGGCAGCGAGCAGAAGGCGCACCTGGAAGACTACTACTGGATGACCGGCTACCCACAGCAGCTGAACCCGGAGGCGCTGGGCTTCAGCCCCGAGGACGCGGTCGAGGCGCTCATCAGCAACAGCCACCAGCTCCAGGGCGGCTTCGATGGCTATGCGCGCGGGGCGCAGCAGCTGGCCTCGGCGGCCGGGGCCGGCGCCGGCGCCTCCCTGGGCGGCAGCGGCGAGGAGATGGGCCCCGCCGCCGCCGTGGTGTCCGCCGTGATCGCCGCGGCCGCCGCGCAGAGCGGCGCGGGCCCGCACTACCACCACCACCACCACCACCACGCCGCCGGCGGCCTGCACTTCGACGACCGCTTCTCCGACGAGCAGCTGGTGACCATGTCGGTGCGCGAGCTGAACCGGCAGCTGCGCGGGGTCAGCAAGGAGGAGGTGATCCGGCTGAAGCAGAAGAGGCGGACCCTGAAAAACCGTGGTTATGCCCAGTCCTGCCGCTTCAAGAGGGTGCAGCAGAGACACGTCCTGGAGTCCGAGAAGAACCAGCTGCTGCAGCAGGTCGACCACCTCAAGCAGGAGATCTCCAGGCTGGTGCGCGAGAGGGACGCGTACAAGGAGAAATACGAGAAGTTGGTGAGCAGCGGCTTCCGAGAAAACGGCTCCAGCAGCGACAACCCGTCCTCTCCCGAGTTTTTCATGTGAGTCTGACACGCGATCCCAGCTAGCCACCTTGATAAGTGCTCCGTGGGGGTCCGACTCGGGTGTGGGCTTGCTAGTTCCAGAGCCGTGCTCGCCGCCACCTCGCCCACTCCCCTGCGGAGATTGCCCGATGCCCCTGCACACACACATACACAAACGCGCGCGCGCGCGCATACACACACAACACACACACAACACACACACACCCTGCTCCCAGTTGGCGGTGGTGGTGGCTGTTTTTAAATGGGGAGGGAGTGGATGTCTGGCTCATGGATTGCCAATCTGAAATTCTCCATAACTTGCTAGCTTGTTTTTTTACACCCTCCCCCCCCACACACAATGTTCAAAGATCTCAGCAGAGTTCTTCATGCTCACCTTTGAAGCCTGCATCATTCACAGTGTTGTTGTTTTTTTTTTTTCTTCTTCAGTTCATGAGCTGGTGTTCATTTTCTGTGTGTGTGTGTTTTATTTTGTTTGGATTTTTTTTTTTTAATTTTACTTTTTGGAGCTTGCTGTGTTGCCCTATTTCCCAACCGCCACCCTCATGCCCTCTTCACCCATCTCCTCAGAGATAAAAGAAAAAAAAAAAGCTAAGTTTTTTTTCCTCCTCCTGAGTTCTTCATGTGAGATTGAGCTTGCAAAGGAAAAAAAAATGTGAAATGTTATAGACTTGCAGCGCGCTGAGTTCCATCGGGGTTTTTTTAGCATTGTTATGCTAAACTAGAGAAAAAAAATCCTCATGAACCTGCCACAATCAAGCCTGCATCAACCTTCTGGGTGTGACTTGTGAGTTTTGGCCTTATCATGCCAAATCTGAGAGTTTAGTCTGCCATTAAAAAACTCATTCTCATCTCATGCATTATTATGCTTGCTACTTTGTCTTAGCAACAATGAACTATAACTGTTTCAAAGACTTTATGGAAAAGAGACATTATATTAATAAAAAAAAAAGCCTGCATGCTGGACATGTATGGTATAATTATTTTTTTCTTTTTTTTTCCTTTTGGCTTGGAAATGGACGTTCGACGACTTATGGCATGGCATTCATACTTTTGTTTTAATTGCCTCATGACTTTTTTGAGTTCAGAACAAAAAAGTGCCACCCTAGAGCCTTCTTCCCATGAAAGTTTGCATCTGCTCCAAAACTGCTTTGAGTTACTGAGAACTTCAGCCTCCCATTGTAAATGCACTGAAGGCATTCCTTGTCAAAGATGCCAGAATGGGTTAAAAATTTAACATGGCAAACATTAAAAGAACTCTTAATGTTTTCTTTTTAATAAGAATGACACCCCACTTTGGGGACTAAAATTGTGCTGTTGCGGAAAGCAGTCTAAAATTTATTTTTTAAGAAAAAAAGAAATCTGCCCCGTTATTTTTGGTTTATTTTTATTATTATTATTTTTTTTTTTTTGGCTTTTGGTCATTGTCAAATGTGGAATGCTATGGGTTTCTAGTATATAATTTAATTCTAGTTTTTATAATCTGTTAGCCCAGTTAAAATGTATGCTACAGATAAAGGAATGTTATAGATAAATTTGAAAGAGTTAGGTCTGTTTAGCTGTAGATTTTTTAAAAGATTGATGCACTAAATTGTTTACTGTTGTGATGTTAAGGGGGGTAGAGTTTGCAAGGGGACTGTTTAAAAAAAAGTAGCTTATACAGCATGTGCTTGCAACTTAAATATAAGTTGGGTATGTGTAGTCTCTGCTATACCACTGACTGTATTGAAAACCAAAGTATTAAAGGGGAAACACCCCTGTTTATATCTGTAGGGGTATTTTACATTCAAAATGTATGTTTTTTTTTTTCAAATTTAAAGTATTTGGGACTGAATTGCACTAAGATATAACCTGCAAGCATATAATACAAAAAAATTTGCAAAACTGTTTAGAACGCTAATAAAATTTATGCAGTTATAAAAATGGCATTACTGCACAGTTTTAAGATGATGCAGATTTTTTTACAGTTGTATTGTGGTGCAGAACTGGATTTTCTGTAACTTAAAAAAAATCCACAGTTTTAAAGGCAATAATCAGTAAATGTTATTTTCAGGGACTGACATCCTGTCTTTAAAAAAAAAAAAATGAAAAGTAAATCTTACCACAATAAATATAAAAAAATCTTGTCAGTTACTTTTCTTTTACATATTTTGCTGTGCAAAATTGTTTTATATCTTGAGTTACTAACTAACCACGCGTGATGTTCCTATGTGCTTTTCTTTCATTTTCAATTCTGGTTATATCAAGAGAAAGAATAATCTACAATAATAAACTGCATTTTTTTTTTGATTCTGTGCTCAGTTTCTTAGTGTACAGTTTAACTGGGCCCAAAACCGCATTAGAAGTGTAAAATGCATCCTTTTCTCCAAAGGAAGAATTAATGGAAGTGTAGGGAGGCAATAAGTCAGGGTGAAACATAGGCTATTTTGTGAGGTGGGAGGCCAGTCCCTTTGAATAATTAGCAATATTTAATATAAATGTAAATTATGACCTCTCAAAATGCATCCCTCCCTCTTCCCCCCAACAAAGTTTTCACTTTTCAAGTGAGTTGAGACATCATTGCCCTCTGGTGAAAACAAACAAACAAAAATCCCAACCAGAGAATAGGGCCTTCTCAGCATTGTCCTCAGCTTCTGGTCCAGCAGCAAGCCCATCTAGAGCCAAGCAAAGAAGTCATGGCAGGAGGTGGCTTGGGCACATATGCATTTAATGGTAAAGATAAACAATTCTTGCCTTTTGGCTAAAATTGATTATTTTTCCTTCTCATACACCATGATTTTCTTGTTAGCAAGGCCTGACCCAACCTAACATCAACACTTTCGACAAATCAAATTGTTTGTTTGTTTTTAACTTTGAAGGTCATTTGTCTTAAATAGGAAAAAGAAAAACCCACCCCTTACTTACATAACCCCAAGTACATATCTGGGTTTAAAACTGTGTTATTAAATCACATTTCACTGTGAGTATTTAGCAGAGGGGGCCTCTCCACTTAGACAAGCTGACGATGATTTCAGATCACCTTAACTCCAGAAATATCAGTAAAAAGTAATGCCTTGATAGAATCAAGGCTGTGCTCTGATCAGTATTTACCCCCCGACAGGCTGTGTATCGATCGGAGGCTCGTTTCAGAGATGACTTGGAAAGTCTTGAGCTACCTTCACTAACGGCGTTGACCTATTTTAAAATGACATAAATTCATGCAACTAATGTTACAAATTCATGCAGTTTGCACTCCTCATCAACTTCCCCTAGAATGCTAAAAGAATGTTAGACAAAGCCAATACTGTTTTGAAAATGTAGCCAAACACGATGACTTTCATTTTATTTTGTTTTTGGTGTTTTTTGTTTTTGTTTTGTTTTTTTTAAGATAATACTGCAACTCTGAACGAAGGCCTTATTTTGAAGAAAACAGGTTGTGCTTGGCGCGGATGAGTTCTGGGCAGTTGATCATCCTGTCTTCCTTCCCCTTTTCACAGAACACGAAGACAGTGTATACCCACTGCATTTTGACCTTCCTTTATGTGCCAGTTTGGATAGAACTCCTGACTCCACACGTAATTTTGCTTAACAAAAGTCTTCATAGTAAACGTACTTCCATGCGCTTGAAGTTAGCTCTTCCCTGCTTCCAAGGTTTGGGTTTTTTTTCTCTGATCCCAACGAGGAGATAGGCAGTTTCCCCCTCCAGGGGCAGAAACAGAGATATATCATTTATGCAAAAAGCTCAGCATCAGATGAAAAGCTTTTAGGCAAACACATTCTGAAAATGAGCGCCATTCAGGATGGACTCACTGCAGTCACCTCCTGAGAAACAGGACTTGGGAGAAAAACAGTTCTGCCACAAGTAAGCATTTTGATAGGACTCGACAAGGCAGTTCACTATAGTAAGTGGGTTTGGGCCCCAAACATTAGAAAGCAGATGCTGTAGAAAATGGGGTTTGGGTGACTGGCTTTAAGAGAAGGTTAACTCCTTAGTGAAAGGCAGTTTTAGATAGAACCATGACTAAAAACTTTGAAATGTAGTATGAAAGGCAAAAACAAATACGTGTGTTTTGGGTGGTGGTGGTGGTGGTTTTTTTTTTTTAACAAAGAAATCCTAAATTCTGCCTAAGTGCCCCTAGTAGAAATAAGTCTCTAAATTAAAAAATAAATAAATTTTGTAAGGAAATCTAGCTTTTCCTTTCCACTGCATCTGAGTCTTTGTCTAAATAGTGTTAAAATTCCTTTCATTCCAATTACAGAACCGAGCCCACTCGCAAGTTGGAGCCGTCAGTGGGACACGCCACATTTTGGAAGCCCCAGCAGTGTGTACTTACAGTGTATTCACAGAGACATTTATGTGAGAACTGTACATTAAAAATTCATTATTATTGTTTGCAGCCTTAGAGCACACCCTGCCCCTGACTTCCGTTTAGTCTCCTTTTTGCAGAAAAATGATTGTGTTAGAGAGGAAGGGTAGTAGGTGTTTAACCTCCATGCTATGAACTCTACCTCTGGTCTGAGGGTCTTTCTGTGCCAACCTAGAGGAAAGCACACGGGTGCTTCTGGCCTCACGGTGCATGAAACTAAATAGGTGCCATTGTTTTCAACCTGCAAGATTAGTTTTTAAAATCCACTGAAATTTAAAGGAGATCTATATGTACATTTATAGGGAGAGAAGTTTCCCAGAAGGTAGCAGCTAGCGTTTTTGAAACATATGTAGACATGCACACTCTAAATAGTACTTTTTCACACTCCGTTGTTTCTCTGGCAGATAATTTTACTAAGAAGAAAAATATACTTGCCTCCCCTTCCCCAAGCAGATGCCATGGGCAGAAGCTTTAGCCGAGCCCCAGCACCCTGGCTTTCTGGTAGGCCCTGGATAGTATTATATTTATCAGTGATGTCAAACATGTTCATTTATCAGACATAGCTGTAAATGAAAACAGCGTGTGGCAAAATACAAAGTTAGTTAAACCACACCCTCCATGTGCTTTTTTCTCTACTTCTCTGCCCCCAGGCCATTCACAAAATCACCTCCCTTGTGTTTCCCTACTTTTTGCACGTTTTCTTTTGTTAAAAAAAAAAAATGTGTAACGATTTTTTACACTGTATCTGACACATTAATAGATCGACATCAAAATAGGCAGAGGTTCTTCCTTCATCTTGGTGAGGAAATGATGTCTAGATACCACGTTTATCCTCCTTGATGCCACAACCATCTGGGCCCCCT